CTCCTATTTATATTGAAAACCAGATTTAAAAAAATCTAAAACAACCAATGGCTGAAACTGATCTATTTTTGTCTAAATTTTGCATTTTATCTATCAACTCACTACAGTTTGCCTTTTAAGTGAATAAACATTTAAGCTTGCTCAGACACTTGCTGGTGGAGTGCAGATGCACTGAGTGAACCTTTTATAACATCTTTGTGTAGTGGCCATGGCAAGTAATTGGCAAATGCACCTTCTTCTTGACTTTGCAAAATTGTAGTTGCTTAGTGGTGTATCAGTGGAGGCAGATGTGAATTCTGTGCAGAGAAGGTGAATTATGGAAACCTGATGGTTACATTTAGCCGCATTTATCTACCAGCTGCTGATATTACCAATGTTTTGCTGCTTTTTACCAATAACCATGGAAACGAGACACAACTTTGGATTTTTGCATAGCATCATGTAATAAGTATATTTTTTTTGCTTGTTAACTTGACATTTTTATTTTAAAGTTTTTGCCCGTTACTGGCACGCTACATGCAGACAAAATAAATAATTATCTATTGTGTATAATATACTTTTCGTCTCTCATTAGATCATGCTCCCGCAATCCCAGGCGTCTCTTTGACACCTTTAACTCTCTTCTTCACCCTGCTGTGGCCACCTTCCAAACTAACCTTACAGCCGATAGCTTTGCATGTTACTTTATCGACAAGATTGAACAGCTAAGGAAAGAATTCTCCCCACCTTGCCATTCTCTTTCTCAACCACACGAAGGTCATGCCTTTCCTACCCTTCAGAATTTCTCCCTGGCTACGGAACAAGAAGTGGCTGTGCTTCTCCTTTCCTCTCGTCCCACCACTTGCCCGCTCGATCCTGTCTCACCTTATCAGATCTCTCTCCCCTTATCTTGTGCCTTCCTTAATACACATCTTCAACTGCTCTCTCTTCTGGCGTTCTCCCTGCTGACCTTAACCCCTTAAGGACCAAACTTCTGGAATAAAAGGGAATCGTGACATGTCACACATGTCATGTGTCCTTAAGGGATTAAACATGCCACTGTAGTACCTATCCTGAAAAAAAAAAATCTCTTGACCCCTCATCCCCGTCTAACTGTCATCCCATACTCCTGCTCACTTCTTCCTTAAAGCTCCTGGAAAGACTTGTCTTTACCAGTTTGTCTCACTTCCTCAATTCCAACTCTCTCCTTGACCCCCCTCCACTCTACTGAGACTGCGCTTATCAAAGTTACTAATGACCTAATCGCAGCTTATTCCAAAGGCAACTACTAATACTTATTGACTTCTCTGCTGCCTTTGACACCGTTGATCATGCTCTCCTTCTTCAAACTCTTCAATCCCTCGGTCTCTGTCACTGTCCTCTTGTGGTTTTCCTCTTATCTCTCCCAATGCTCATTCAGTGTCTCCTTTTCTAATGACACCTCCTCCCCTCGTCCTGTCTCAGTTGGAGTCCCCCAAGACTCTGTCCTTGGTCCCCTTCTATTTTCTCTTTATACTGCCTCTCTTAGCAAACTTATTACCTCTTTTGAATTCCATTACCACCTGTACACTGATGGCACCCAGATATATCTCTCCTCCCTGGATCTCTCCCCTGCCATCCTGCAATGTGTCACTGCTTGCCTTTCTTTTATCTCCGACTGGATGTCCTCCTGCTTTCTGAAACTCAATCCCTCTAAAGCTGAGCTCCTCGTCTTTCCTCCTCCTAATACTGATCCTCCTCTTTCGCTCTCCCTTCAAGTTAGTGGTATCTACATAAGTCCATCCTTGCAAGCGCGCTGTCTTGTTGCCAAATCCTGTAGATTCCATCTTAAAAACATAGCCTGCATCTGCCCCTTTCTAACACAAGATGCTACCAAGGAGCTTGTCCATGCTCTAGTAATCTCGTGCATGGATTATTGTAACCCTCTCCTAATTGGTCTTCCCAAAAGCCGTATTGTCCTGCTATAGTCTGTAATGAATGCTGCCGCCAGACTGATTTTCCTCTCTAGTCGGTCCTCTCACCCCTCTGTCAGTCCTTACATTGGCTTCCTGTATCCTATAGGAGTCAATTCAAAGTGCTAACCCAAACTATAAAGCACTGACCAATTCTAGCCCCTCTTATATCTCCTCACAGATCCATAGGTATGTCCCTTCTCGGTCTCTCCACTCTGCCCGTGACCTTCTCCTGTCCGCACCCGTACGGCCAACTCACGCTTGCAGGACTTCTCGTGGGCGGCTCCCTTCCTATGGAATAGCCTGACTACCACCATCAGACTCTCCCCTAGTCTTCAATCATTTAAGAAGTGCCTTAAAACCCATCTCTTTAGGAAAGCTTATGGCCTCCCAGAGTAACCTCTACCTCACATACCTGTCTCTTGCTCTCTCCTAAAGGGCAGCACTCTCCTCCAGCTTTGCCTCATTCCCACCTTATTTGATTGCTATTTCCTGTCCTAATGTGTTTTACACCCCCCATCCCCTCCTATAGACTGTAAGCTCGTTTGGGCAGGGTCCTCTTCAACCTATTGTTCTTGTAAGTTTTCTTGTAATTGTCCTATTTATAGTTACATCCCCCCTCTCATATTATTGTAAAGCGCTACGGAATCTGTTAGTGCCATATAAATGCCAATAATAATAAGTATTAATTGTAAAAGAAAAAAAACAGAAATTTCATGGAATGAATACACAAACAAGAAAAAAATATCTTATTTACTAAATACTCCCAACCCTGGTTCTCTTAGACCAACCCCTCCCCCCAGGAACGGGTAAATAATAAGGAAAACAGAGGAAGAAGCACTGGCATAAAATCCTAAATAATTATTAATTCGCCTTCATACTCCATTGCCCCATTAACTGGAGTGACGGATCCGTGACTGTGACGGCTTTCGCTTCACAGCAACCAGGCTCTGCTCTAGAACAATGAGATCCCAGCGTAGCTCTGTAGAGCGCCTGTTACAGGATCCAGTGCTATCGGAGCAGAGAATAAATCAGAAAGTCAAATATTACAAAACAAACCAAGCCTGACGGCAGCAAAATGAAAGATAAAAAAGTAAAAGGTACCAGGCAAACACAAACTGCATTAAATCTAATAAAATACATCGAACATACATTCCACGGCTAATAAATGGGCTCAGAAAGCATAGCATTGTGGGCATGCTGGTGAATATTTCAGTCCACTCTCGCTCATGTTAACCTGGCCGAAGCACTTTAAATCTCACTGTTATTTCTTTTCTCTGCATGTAGCATGCCAGCAATGGGAATATATTTTAAATAAAAAATTAATGTTAAAAAAAATCTCACTATTTAGTCTGGTTGGAGCATGTTAAATCTCGCTATTTAGTCTGGCTGGAGCACTTTAAATCTCACTATTTAGTCTGGTTGGAGCATGTTAAATCTCACTATTTAGTCTGGTTGGAGCACGTTAAATCTCACTATTTAGTCTGGTTGGAGCACTTTAAATCTCACTATTTAGTCTGGCCAAGACGTTAAATCTCACTATTTAGTCTGGTTGGAGCACTTTAAATCTCACTATTTAGTCTGGTTGGAGCACTTTAAATCTCACTATTTAGTCTGGTTGGAGCACTTTAAATCTCACTATTTAGTGTGGCCAAGACGTTAAATCTCACTATTTAGTCTGGTTGGAGCACGTTAAATCTCACTATTTAGTCTGGTTGGAGCACGTTAAATCTCACTATTTAGTCTGGTTGGAGCACTTTAAATCTTTCTATTTAGTCTTGCCGGGGCACTTTAATTCTCACTATTTAGTCTGGCCGGAGCACTTTAATTCTCACTATTTAGTCTGGCTGGAGCACGTTAAATCTCACTATTTAGTCTGTTTGGAGCACGTTAAATCTCACTATTTAGTCTGGCCGGAGCATGTTAAATCTCACTATTAAGTCTGGCCAAGAGGTTAAATCTCACTATTTAGTCTGGCCAAGACGTTAAATCTCACTATTTAGTCTGGCCAAGACGTTAAATCTCACTATTTAGTCTAGCCAAGACGTTAAATTTCACTATTTAGTCTAGCCAAGACGTTAAATCTCACTATTTAATCTGGTTGGAGCACGTTAAATTTCATTATTTAATCTCTCCGGAGCACGTTAAATGTTACTATTTTAGTCTGTCGGGAGCACGTTAAATGTTACTATTTTAGTCTGGCCAAGACGTTAAATCTCACTATTTATTCTGGCCGGAGCATGTTAAATCTCACTATTAAGTCTGGCCAAGACGTTAAATCTCACTATTTAGTCTGGCCAAGACGTTAAATCTCACTATTTAGACTGGCCAAGACATTAAATCTCACTATTTAATCTGTCTGGAGCACGTTTAAATTTCACTATTTAATCTGTCCGGAGCACGTTAAATGTTACTATTTATTTATTTACTTATTTTTGTCAATCTGTATTTAATGAGGCATATTAGATGGGATACAGAATAGAGAGAGGGAAATGTGCATTGAGAATACAGTATAGGGCTCAATAACAGTGGTATCTAACATTTCCTTAATATTTGTAACTCTTTTTTATGTTTTATGGTTTAACGTTGCTTTTGTAAACCGGTTTAGGCAATATGCAATTTAAGTCGTTTAACATTGACTAGTTGTAATAGGTTAAGTGAGCAAGTTTTGTATAGGGTGAGTGCGCAGGCTCAGTAATTCCCTGTTGTGTAAAATTAACTCAAATAATAAGAACACGCTAACATAATAAGCGATTAACTGCTTGCAAATACTGACGTGCCTATATCCCCGGGCGCCCCCACTGCTGTCTGCCATACGTGGAGTGGCATATGAGCAGACTGGCTAACGTCCAGGCTCCAGCAAATGAATATTAAAATCAGGTTAGGGAGACATAGCAAATGAAGGAAAGCAGTCTGCAGTGCGTGGGGGCCGTGTGACATATTAAGCATAACAATAAATCATTACCAATAGCAGTCAAACGTGTAGCCTTGCTTTGGGCGAAAGTTAAGCAGTGAATTAGAGTGAGGAGAAAATGTTAAAGAGTTCAGCGTGTCCGCTTTCAGTCCCTTTCATCCCATGCCTGTTCGTGGCCAGTTGTTGTCAGGGGTAGGAAGGCATGTAAAGTCGGTGCAGTAGTTGTGGGTCGAGGTCCCCCTCCAGCCCCAGGCCTTTATGGAGGGTGGTATCTTCGGACCACTGACTCCCTTGTTGGGTTCAGGTGGAGCCGGTGTATCTTCGCCGCCTGCGGCGGGCAGTCCCCCTGCAGGATGGTTGATGCTGCGGCGGTGGTTTCCTCTCGGCCTCGGCAGGCATTGTGCTTGCGCTGCTGGTTTGGGGTCAGTTGCTGTGCCCAGAGTGGGGGGCCTCTTCCCCTCGTTCCCAACTCCATTCTTGTGTACTGTCTGCTTGTGTGGCGGTACTTTTCTCTTTTCCCCGTGGGCACGGTCGTGTTTACTCGTACCCGTTAGGGGTTGCAGGGTCGCTTGAGGTGTTTGCAGCTTTTTATTTAGCTTGTGCCAGAATCGGGCAAAAGCAGCTTCTATGCTCCTCACATCTTCGCTGTGGATCTCCGTTTCAGATTTGCAGTGCAACTTGCCTGGTGTGCTTGCCGCCGCCATTTTGGGTGCACCAGGCGCCTAAATGTTACTATTTAGTCTGGACAGAGCACTTTAAATCTCATTATTTAGTCTGGCCGGAGCACGATAAATCTCAATATGTAGTCTGGCCATTCTGTCTATGTTAAATCAGCCTGTTCAAGCAAAGGGCCTAAAAGACAAGCAACCAGTTTTGATGGCAAATGTTTGGCTGAGTATTGTGGGAAGAATTGTGCTGAACACCTGCAGTGCCATATGTTCTCTGTCTGTCGTCTGTCCATAATGGAGGGTACATGGAAAGCATGCTTAGAACTGGTTCAGTAAACACACATATCCATTATTTAAAGTGACACTCCAGACCACTAAATCACTTTGGCTTGCTAAAAAGCTTTCTGTGAAGACTGCGTCCTCTTTTTATAATTTTGGAAATAGTGCAGATTTCAATCGAAATTGACTCTTTTTTAAAAAAAAATTTTTTTTATACATTTATACTGGTTACGCCCCCTGGCTTTTCAAGCAACCAGTCCTGGTTTGCTCAGTGGAGCTAAACTCGCGGCAGCAATTGCCCAAAGACTGCTCATTGAGAAATCTGTGATTGGACAGCCACAGAAAGTATGGGCGGGGTTAGAAGGGGAGGGCTTGCAAAGGCTGCAGACAAAAGATCTGCAGTGTTTGCAACCTGTTTTAGATCTAACTCCAATGAACAAAGGCATAATTAAATGCATGCAATTTTTCATATAGGCTATATATACTAAACAGTGAGTTTTATTTATTTTGTATTTGGTAAGTGGAGTGTCCCTTTAATAATTAGTACATTGTGAGGCCCTTAGACATTCCCCACCTGATGTACAACTACAGAACCCAAGAGACATTGCAGCCTTATAGCTAGAAAATGATCATGGGAGTTGTAGTGATGGTGGACTGATTTTTGTCCATCAAGTGTGTTGAATGAGAAGTGAGTTATTTGTGAGTGAATCGCAGGGAAGGCCAAAGTAGCCGATTATCCATCTCCACTCCATTGTCAGTTCACTGCCATTCAATCATGAAATGGTAAATTGTGTTGAGAAAATGTTTATACAATTTAGGCAAATGAAACAAGGTTGGAATAAAGCCCTTAACATATTTTCCATTAAATTCCTTCTATCTATCTATCTATCTATCCTGTGTTTTTTTTTTTTTTTTTACCTCCAAATACATCATTACAAAATTCCTTTCGCAAACAGGAACTCAACAAGTTATTAACCATTCCATCTCTCTCTGACCGTATAAGACAACATATTAATTTAGAAAATTAATAATTCTAGCCTTCTTGGCAATGTCTTTTTACCTTATGTGGGCTAGTCTATATGCCAATTATAGAATTGTACCTCAATTAAGTGGCCTGGGTGTGGTGTTATTTTCCTTTTAACTCAGTAATGTAAAACATAGCGTTTTTTTTATTTATTTATTTTTACATTGCCGGTTTAAATCCACCAATAGTGATGGTCTGTCCACTAGAGGCACTGCCTGGTTCAGTGCTTTCCTATGGGGAAGTTTGAATGTGCGCTCACCACACATGCACATTAGGTCCCACAGAGGAGAATTGGATTGGACCATTTCGGAGGAAGCCATGCCTCCTCTGTGATGTCATGGTGGGTGGAGGTTAGCATCGCCAATGGAGTCATGGTGCTGGAAAAGGGTAAGAGAAACTTGGCTAGATTGTGCTGGAAAGTATTTAAATGTATTCCTAAGATACATATAGCTACAGCCTGACAATAATAAACTTTTACAATCAAGATGGCAGCCTAGGAGTAAGATAATGAATCTAACATATGCCATACAGTGGTTTATTACATAATGGTGAAATCGGGTTAGGGTACACAAGGTTTGTTACAGAACATTTGGCAATATCTGTAAAATTACAATTGCCCCTGAATTTGCAGGAAACGCCATGAAAGTTAAATTTTCCTTAACGATCTTCTGGTATTGTGGAACTGTGCTAAAGTCCAGTTTTGTCATATTCACGAGTTTGCTGACGCGGAGTGTCACATTTTATGACATTTTCATAAAAGTGAAAGGGAACATCTTATAGCTCAAAAACTCGCAAAACCAGCAAAACACGCATTTTGACAATATTTTATTATACGAGGAAAAAAGTAAGAAAAGTATGTTTATTTAAAATAAAGCCTACACTTCACGACAGTTGCTCATTAAGCATTATTTTGATTTAAAATTGCTCAGACTTTTTAATTTATAAATCCAGTTTGCTAAGGCTTTGAAAATTAGGTTTATCAATAAACAGTGAACCATAGGAGATTAGAAAAGGTAATGGTACATTTTATGAAGAAATTTTAGTACGTCGGTTTTGTCCACCTATTTGGTTCTCAACTGTCCGTGGCATGATCAGTGTTTAGTAATTAAGCCAGTAGAGGCTAGTCCATAGGGGCAGGTAGGGTAGCGCCCTTCACCCACTCCATTTTTGTTGTGCAAAAAAAATAAATCTGTTTGAGTTGTAAGGACTAATGATATGTTTGTTAAAAAAAAAGCATGTTGCGTATGTCATGATTCTATCTGTGGTTTCCATCCTCCCCTTTACTGATTTTCCTGAGAGTTCAAGCAACTAATCTTTTTAAGGTTTGGGATATTTTTGAGGGGAAAAAAAACAAACACATTTTCAGCATATGGACTTCTCAAAAAAGCTTAGTCTGCTCGAATGGGAAACTCTGGTGTGAGCCTTTGGCTGTCAATTTGGCTGTGAGATTCTGGACGTGTTTCTATACGTTTATGTTTTGGACCGGGCATAGCATCTCATTGGGCAGAGGCCAATAAGTTAGGACCACCATCTTTCACCAGTCGCCACTGAATTAAACGCAAGTGATGTTATGACCTCCAAGAGCACTTTATTGCAATTTCCAAACAATTACAATTATTCATATAGCACCAACATATTGTGCAGCTCTGTACAATGGGAAGCAAGACAAACATCTCATTCTGAGAAAGCCTGTCCAAGTGAGCTCACAAGCCAAATGGATGAGGGACAAATACACAAAGGGCAGTACGAGAATCAAGTTATCTGAAAGTACCAGAGAATAGGGAGCGTGATTGACATTTACAAGTGACTCAGGCAGGTGACGATTCAAAATGTATGTAATATATAGTTAGACTGACCCTACACTACTAGCCAAACATCTGATTGTAATGTATAATAACCAGAGATGGCTAGTCTTGGCACCCCCATCTGTTTGTGAACTACATTTACCTTGATGCGCAGTCAGTATTATG